TTTCTGCGCGCCTTGTTTCATACCGGCATTAATTATATTGACATTTCGGGGAGCAGAGGAAATGCTGTGTTTGTCTACATGTATGCCTGTGTGTATGTGTGCGTATGTATGTTTGTTTGTTTGTGTGTGTGTCTGTAAGTGTATGTGTATTTGTGCCTGTGTGTGAGTATGTGTGTTAATGTGCTTGTTTGTGTATCTATCTATCTATCTATCTATCTATCTATCTATCTATCTATCTATCTATCTATCTATCTATCTATCTATCTATCTATCTATCTATCTATCTATCTATCTATCTATCTATCTATCTATCTATCTATCTATCTATCTATCTATCTATCTATCTATCTATCTATCTATCTATCTATCTATCTATCTATCTATCTATCTATCTATCTAGACACCATTTCTTTTCTTCGTCCGAACAATTTTTTTCACAACAAATGAATGAATAAATGAATGAATGAATGAACGTAAGAACGAATGAATGACTGAACGATTGAATGAATGAACTCAGTTGACAAAATTTTCAACTTCATTTTTATAACGCTTCATCATCGTCAACAATGAAAACAAATGAAAATAACCGTTTCAAATGACGAATGACAAGGGACAAACAAACAGCTAACACTATCCACACCCCTCTCTGTATTTCTACATATCTCTCCAGAAATAAAAACCAGGACAGATTTAATTTTTAAATCAGGACATATATTTTAAGAAGAAAGAAATATAAAATTAATTAAACTAAGATTTGACGAGGGATAACTACCTAAAAAGCCTGAAAGTGTAGAAAATTTTTCATCCCATCCAATCAGTTTTATTTTTATATAGTGCTGAACATTTTTATTTTTAAATGTCTAAATTCAACCTGTTATTTAAACGCGTAGATATAATATTTATAAAATGAAAAAATTTGTTTAAACTTACATTGGCCGGAGGCAGTTGATGTTGATGAATGAATGAATGAATGAATGAATGAATGAACGAACGAATGAATGAATGGATGGATGAAAGAATGAACGAACGAACGAATGAATGAATGAATGAATGAATGAATGAGCGAATAAAGAAACAACATATCACGTGATCACACAGACGTACAACAGACAAAACAACAAACTGATTTTGAATATTGTAATAACACCATGAAATCTGTTCAGCAACACGTGCATTACGTAAAAACATTAACATTACATTAACATTACATTAATCTTACATTAACATTACAGTGGCATTACATTAACATTACATTAACATTGACATTACATTAACATTACATTAATATTACATTGGCATTACATTAACATTACATTAACATTACAGTAACATTACATCATCCTCACATCGTATGAATACACAACTCAAAATACAAAATGCCTACCTAACATCAAGTAATCATCCATCATAATCTTATTATCTCTGTGAGCATTGAAGACAGGAAAACGACGACAACAACGAAATAACAACAAAGACAACAAAATAATAACAACGACAACAACAAAAACAAAGACAACAAAATAATAACAAAGACAACAAAATAACAAAGACAGAAAAATAAGAACAAACACAACAACATGACCAACAACAAAGAACACGTTAACAGCAACAAAAACGACAAAAACAACAGCAAGAATGTTTGGCTCTTATAGACCGAAATACACGTACAAACAGTGTACGTACGAGCTAAACATTGTTTTATAAATTTTTTAAAACTTTCTTTAAAAAAATAAGACTGACTATCTCAAAATCTGTTAAGAGGTGATCAGACCCAAAAATGAATGAAAATGATGAAAATAACCATCCCTACAACTACAATCAACACCAGTCACCATCGTCGCCGTCACAACAATCACGTGACAGACCTTGAACAGACAAGAGGAGGTCGTCTTGCAGACGTTTCGAAGACATGAAAACGATGAAGATGGAGTTCTTCTCGTCGAAAAACTGCTGGACGTTGGTCACCTGTGAATGAAATTTCATTACAAAGGCACTTTTAACATAGGACTTTCCACAAATTTTCAAACTTCAATTTATTTTTGATCGTAAAATTTCGACCTTACAACGGAGTTATTGGAAAACTAACTATGGTATGATTTTTATATGATTCTCACTTTGATATCATCAATGGTTACGATACTGTGAATCTTATCTGGAGTGATGTTGAGGAATTCGCTGACGGACTGCACCAACTTAGTGAAGGTGATCTCCAACTTTTTCATCAGCAGGAGGCAGGCGATCGTCCGCGGTCTGAACCCGGCCAAGATTATGAAGATGGTTTTGGCGTTGGACCGGGAATCGAGGTCGTGCATTTTGTTGAAGATGGCGCTGTTTGGATAGGGAAGAAGGGATGTCTTGACGAATGGAGCAGCGCAACAAATGTACTGTTCGCCTGATTGAAACTGACTTATTGACGTCACCATCTCCCCGTTCTTGTTGTATATGTACCTGGGAAAGATTTTTTCAATTCATGTGATAATGAGAGCATTACGTACATTACATTTTATTGAAAAATGTAATCATACAAAACACACGTGAATATTTTTCGTTATATTTTGTCTTTAATTCGTTGAAAAATAATTAAAAATGATTTAGTTAGTCAAAAACAAATTATGTCAATTTTTTTCTTGATTGTTATCATTACTTTGCGTGCTGTTACTTTTAACAAATAAATACAAATCGGATACAAAATAAATACCTGGTCCCAAGTTGTCCCAGTGCATTGCTATCCGGCAACCTACTTACCTTCATCTTGCATATCTCGTCAATGAGCAGATTAAAATCCGGATACATTTTTTCACTGACGACGATTTTTGTCCCTTTGAAATCCGTATTGCCATTTCTCATGAGGGTTATTCGTTTGCCCATCCATTTCGTCTCACTGATCCGTCTCAAAATTTTATTATTATCCATGACGGGGGATGAGAGTGCAAAGCGAATCAGCCGATTAATTTTATTTATGAATTCAAGTCACAGTTTCTTCAATCTTCAGTGTTTTATAATGGTTTGTTCTTCATTTTAAGAAAATAATTTAACATCGTTCAGGTTTTCAATGTTTATTCGCATATTACTTCTGAGAGTCTTGTTACAGAATTAAAATTGTAGTTAAATTTATTTTCAAGAAAACATCGGTATTCTTACAGATGATGATGATATTATATTGAAACAAAAATAATAAACAAATAACGTTAATTTAAAAAAATGACGTCACGTTAAAAGTACTCCAGCTTAATTATCATGTGTAACATTTCTTATGCAGAAATTAAATTTTAATTTTTTTTTAATTTCAAAGTTCGTTGATTCATGAAAAATATAAAAATTTGAAAGAATATTTATTTAATTTTGGCATTCATGTACACCTCGTTCTAATGTGAAAATTTTTGGTTTCATGTGCCTTTTGAGATAAATTAGAATTCATAAATATATATACACAGGAATGGTCTTTCTAAGAAGTGTGATATTGCCGTTTTGTACTATAATTATTAAATAAATATTTATAATCACAGCAGCTTAAGTTCAATATAATAACACATGACCCCCAGTCTAATGTTCAGTTTAACTAGTATAGCTCAATTCTTAAGTAAATTCATTGGCCAAATGGTTGTTATCAATCTAAAAGTTGATTTAAGTTTGTATTTGCATTAATTTTTTAAATGTCCTCAGTGTTTTCGACTGTTCGCTTTACTAACTAATCAAACCTAATCAGGCATCTCTTTAATTTATTTGATTGAGGGTTTTGATGTAAATTGATTGCCATTCATGTCTTCTAAGCTCCGTGTCTTGATAGGTGGTTTAATTTTCGTTTTTTATTTTTGAATGCTTGAGCCTGAGAGTGAATTGGATGTAAGAAGTTTTTGTAAGTAAAAGTAAAAGTATGCTTGTAAATGACAAATGTTGAATGTACTTTTGCATTTTGGTTCAATTTTGATATCAATTTATGCTAGGTGGGGGATCTGGATTCTTAGGCAGATATCTCACAAACAATCTGTTAACAAAAGGGCATGATGTCACCTGGATTTCACGCTCTTCTGGAATCAATCGTATAACCTGGGTATGAATTTAATAAATAAAATAGAATAATAAATAATTTAAATTTCAAATTTATATGTTATGTTATTTATACAATTTTTTTACCCTTTTTTAAGTAGTTTAACTTTAATTATAGTCTTATTAGATCTTCCACATGTTTATGTATAAACAGTGATTATTCATTATTCATTTTATTTTAAACATTTTATTTCAAGGCAGTGTATGTCATATTTGTCACTAGGAATAACAATTTTTATATTTTTTTCTTTCAAAAAATTTTTTTTCAAATAAATTCAAAACTTAGGCAGAGTTGTCAAAAAAAGGATTGCCTGAAAGGTATGATGCCATTGTAAATCTGGCTGGAGAGAGAATGCTAAACCCTTTCAAAAGGTTTTTTTAGAGGAATCTAGAAAAATTTTAAAAATATTTCAAGTTTATTTATAAATAAACAAACTGTACTAATGAATATGTAACACATTTTATATTTCTGGTTCAAAACAGATGGACAGATGATTTAAAAAAAGAAATAGAATCCAGTAGAATATCAACAACAAGGCTTCTGTCAGACCTTATCTCATCTTCAAGCCACAAACCTAAAGTATGGCTATCATCATCTGCAATAGGTTTTGCTTTATATTTCTACTCACATTTACTTATTTTTATTTAATTGTATTTTGGGTTCATTATAACATGTTCCATAATTTTTTTTCTTACTAGTTGTATCACTTATGAGCAATTGTCATTCCTAAAAGTGCTATGAGTTTCAATGAATGTTTGGTTTAGACAATCTTCTAATCTTCTTTGATTAAGTGTATGAAAACTTATGTAATTGTAGAATTAGTGAATTCATAAAATGTAACATTTAATTCAGTTTATGTTGACAGAAAGGTGGCTAATTAAATAAATTAATAAAATGTCCTGACCTTATTATTTCTTGTTGAAGCTAGGTTACTATCCACCCAGTGAGGTAAAAGTGTACAATGAGAACAGCAAGGAAGGTGATGGTGATTTCTTTGCTGAACTCTGCCAGAAATGGGAAGATGCTGCTAAACTGAAAGATGAATCAGTTAGACATGTTACAGTCAGAATTGGTTGGTCAATAAAATCATTTTTTTATTTTAATTCGAAGGTGATATTTTGAAACAATCAGGTGTTATATTGGGAAGAACTGATGGTACAATCAAACTACTTTATATTCCTTTTTTCTTGGGTTTGGGTGGCAAAATTGGCTCAGGAAAGCAATGGTTCTCTTGGATACACGTCAACGATGCTGCAGGAATATTTGCCATGGCAATTGAGAATGAAAAATTTTTTGTTGGTATTTTCTTTTCTCTTATTTTTATTCATCATTCATAATATAATTGACTAGTTGCATGTTGTCCAATTGCAGTGTTGTGGGTCTAAATATTTTGACCTTGTTGAAATAGAACTGTCATTTGTTAGAATATAGAATGCATGATGCGTCATTTTGTATTTGCGGGCGTGTGTGTTTCAAATTTTGAAAATGTAACTACACAATGCAAATGTTCATTAGGTAATTTTAGTCGTTGAATTATTTATTTATAATTACCAAGGGTGTATTGAACGCAGTCGCGCCTAATTGTGTAACGAACGAAGTGTTCACAAGCGCTTTTGCAAGTGCCTTGAACAGACCCGCGATCTTTCCGGTGCCAGAAATTTCTCTGAACATTATGTACGGCAAGGAAAGGGCGTCGATCATAACGAGAGGGCAGAACGTTTATCCGGAAAGAACTTTGAACTACGGCTACAAGTTTGAGTTTCCCGACATTTATACTGCTTGCAAAGAATGTGCCACATCTTCTGCCAAAGAGGGATTCAGCTTTTGAATATCAAATGTGGCGGATTATTATTTAACAGTCGGATTTGTATTTTTTTCAATTTTTGTGATCTTTTCAATAAAAAGTTGATAGTTAATGCGTAGTTCAAATTACTTCGGAGGAGAGGAATGGCTTTGCATTTTAATGCAGCTCTGAATTCCAACGATGTGAGGCTTTTCATACAACTCGGTCCTCCAGCAGGCCAACACTTTTTAAATTTTAATCACTGTTGTTTTCCCTTCTTGTTATGTAAACAGCAGAGATGATGAGAAGATGAAGAAAAGAGTTTATTAAAATAAAACTGAACGAAAGCGAATTTGAAGGAAGACGTTTTGCTTTTAAAATAATTCCCGGACTCCAAATTGATTTAGTCGTTTTTTTTTGCAAAACATTTTTTCAATTTGCATTTTCGAAGCCTGTGGATTAAAAAAGTAGGTTAAAAAAGTTAATTTTATTCTAATTCTAACTAATAGTTATCTAAAAAGAACTGAATCTATTCTAATCTAATATAATTTTATTTTTTTTATTTTAGAAATCAATTTAATTTAATAAATTAATTGTTTGGTTTGAATTTAAAAAAAATTTACTAGAGTTATTTATTTTTCATTTTTTGCAGTAAGAAGATATTTTCATATTTTAAAGTTTTTAAATTTAAAATTAATAGTAAAAGAAAAATTTATTAAGAATAAAAAATTAAAAATAGAGTTATAAAAAATAAGTTATTTTTAATTCATAATTAAATGATAATATTATTGTTATATTAGCCTAGTTTTCCAATCATGTTTGTTATCATCTTTACTTTTGCTTTTCCTTTGAGCTTGACAAATCATTGAATTCAACAGAAAAAACATAAATTTTGAATGTTAATAAAACATATTATTTATAATATTATATATTGGATTGGTATTTAAAGAAAACAAATCATTAGATCAGTATTTAATGAAAAAAAAAAAAAATAAGAAAAGGAAAGATGTCAGTTATATTTGGCTTTTAATTTTACGTATTAAATTCAAATTTAAATTTTCTTAATGAAATAAAATTTATTTTAAATAGCTTAAGCATCTTATCCTTCTTTAAATTTATAAAGAAGTCATCTTTCATATTTGATTAGTGTTAAATGGTTAAATGGGTTCACAAACGACACTGAGACGTTTTGTTTTACATTTCATGACAAAGATAAAAATATTTAAATATTATTAATTGATTAAAAGGTATTTAACATCTAAAGGAGACCAATAAAACTGGGCAATGTCTGACTTTGATGAGACAGACATGATGGTGAACAAGTTGGATGAATTCTACATCAACGATAACATCAATTTGGAAAATGAGTTTGATGAAGATTTCCCTAAAAGTTTGATCGTAACAGGCATTCCAAGTGTTGTTTATGAAAGTCAAAATGTCAAGGTGCCTGCTTTTGTTTTAATTAAAATTAAAAAATGGTTTTATGTGGGTTTATTTTGTTATATTTTTAAAAATTTAAATTCAATTTTATCTACAGAACGAATTTGAAAGTTTGTTCACAAGTTTATCTTCATCGACGACGTTTGAATACTTGAAATCTTTCAGTCGAGCTCGCGTCACCGTCGACAACATTTCAACGGCCACTTCCCTCCGTATATATCTGCATGGCAGGCAGTTTCATGGATCCACACTCAACTGTTTCTTTGCACAGGTTCCCCCTTGCTACTTTTTGTCAACAATCATCTTCAACTCTTTGCAAATATTTTTATTGATTTTGCTGTTAACACTATACTTTCTATGGTTTTGCACGTTCTTGTGGACAGCCAAGCGAGATGACCTCATCCACTACTCACCTTGAACTTCCGAAGCCTTACAAGCAGTTCCTCATCTCTCCTCCGTCATCACCCCCATTGGGCTGGGAGCACTGCTTGGAGAAGGAGCCAACCATCAACTATGATCTTATTTCGGCCATCAATAACCTCGCCCCTGGTATGAAACTTCTGTGGCTTTTCGATTAATTTGAGATTGAAATACTTGTTTACCTTTTTAATTCCTAACTCTAAAACACTTTCTATGTCTAATAATATTTTAGCAAACTGGGTATGTTGTTTACAATTAGATGATTGGTCACTCAGTCATTCAACATTATCTCCATTTGCCTTGCATCCACCTACCAACCTTCCTACCCACACAGGGGCCAGCCACGAACTGCACCCTCCGTCACCCACGTCTCCAGGTATTGTGGTTCACATCTGTGAGGACCCTGAAGGGTTCAAAGGTCAAAAAATCGCCAAGAGCAAATGTCCACCTCAGAAATGATTAAGTTTTCCAATTTGAATTCTATTTCTTATATTCAGTACTAGTTGAAGTTATTGTTATTATTTTTATTATTATTCTTGCACTCATTCATTCATTCATTCATTCATTCATTCATTCATTCATTCATTCATTCATTCACTCATTCATTCATTCATTCACTCATTCATTCATTCATTCAGACATACGATCTTATGCATTGATTTTTTTTGGTTTTATTTTCTTTAATCATCATTCTGCAACAATTTGATTCTTGAATTTAACACAAAGTATAATATAATAATTATAATAACATGTTGCGTGTATTTTGATTGAATGTTTCCATGTTTAAGAAATGAAATTTGACGAATTGTATCAACGAAATGAGTGAAAATTATTTTTCCATCACCCATCAATTGTTATCATTTCCAATGTTATTGTCTTTGCTGTTGTTGTTGTTGTTTATTTACATATAAACTTTTTAAAGCTTCTAATTTTGAAGATATTTAAAGGAAAAATAAACTAAATAGATATTTAGTATTATAATGTTTGGTATCATATGCTTTACTGTTCTACACAATTGATATGTTTTCAGACGTTGTTGACCAAGTTGTATATCTCCAGAGTTCAAGATGGTATTATGATGTGTAATCTGTAAAAAATTTTTTCAAAAGTCATCACTGATAATAATAATTGTTTTATCTCTTGCTTAATGTAAGTCTGATTTTACCTTTTTGTGTCTAGTTTTACTGTTTTTGTAAAGTTTTAACGGAGAAGATATAGACATTATCAGAAATTTAAGCAAAAATAATCAACATCTTTTACTATCTTTGTGTTTTGGTAAGTCATGTGAAATATTTCGAATTTGTAAAGTACTCTATGAAATTATTTTAATAAAGTGGGCTCTATCAGTTATAAAATCATCATAATCATTATTGTCCATTTAATTTGTATACATTCATTTTTCATTCAAATTGAATTGAGGATTTTTTCTCCAATGCTTTTCATTGTTCCTTTCACCAATTAATTTTAATCTCTTAACGACATTTTTTCACGGCTTACTACTAAAAAATATCGGTAAGACACACATTATAATAATTCAGAACTTTTCTCAGTCAAGTTGTTATAAAATTTTTTTGGCTTCGTTCTTAAAACCACATCTGTTACTGAAATTTTTTTTAACAAATTATGTCCATGTTTTCTTTTTAACGATTTTTTTTTTCGATTTGCCAATTTGAAAATTTATACTGATATGGGCCTGAGGATTTGTTATGTCTTTGTAAACTTTTCTTTGTTAACTTTTTTTCATCAAGCTAATGTTAAGAGATTAAGAGTTGTTAAGAGGATAAAAATTTAGACTGTCCATGGTCAGTCTGGATAAGAAAATGTGTGGAAAATAAGTAGCCATTAGATAAATTAACTAACCTTGACCGAATTTATTTTTACAAGAAAAAAAAATTAATAAGATTTTTCATTATAAACAAGATTTAAAGCCTAAAATATTGGGAAATCATTTATATTTTAAAGAGTAGCTCTGTGATTACGACCTATTGCTTGAAATAGTTATAACATTTAATATTTCCTTATTTAACCAAAAGTATAATTTTCATTACATATTATTGCGTAAAGTACATAATGTTTCGCTTTTAAATTATTCTTTTTTATTACTATGTAGTCTGTTGTGCCATAGTATCTATTTATGGTTTGATATAGTATCTAGAACTTATAATAGGTTAGTTAGTTAGTTAGTTAGTTAGTTAGCTAGCTAGCTAGTTAGTTTGTTAGTTAGCTAGTTAGTTAGTTAGTTAGTTAGTTAGTTAGTTAGTTAGTTAGTTAGCTAGCTAGCTATAACTAACTGGCTAGTTAGTTAGTTGTAGATCTAGGTCATGTTTCTGATGTTGCTGGTTATCATCTTTTTTTGTTTGTTTAGTATTTTAGTTGTTTGTTTGTTTACTTGTTTGTTTGTTCGTTCGTTTGTTCGTTTGCCTGACTGTTATACAAATCGTTGATTGAGTTATTTTTATTTTGTATTTTTAAATTAGAAATTATGAATTAATACATATGTATATACATTTCAGTACAATGATGTTTTTAAATAATGACATAATCACGATGTAATTTTAATAATAATAATATTAATAATAATAATAGTTAATTATAATAATAATTTTAATAGATGAAATGAGAGCAAAGCCACTAAGATGTTTACCACAATATAATATCAAAATAATAATTTTGTTCTTCAATTGTAATAATTTTAACGATGATAGAAATTTTTTCATAACTTTCCGAGTATTATGTGGTGTTTGTCACACATCTATTATACACACACACACATACACCGCACACACACCCACACACACACACACACACACACACACACACACACATATATATATATATATAATGTGTGCTCATTTAAAAAAAAATTAAAAAAAAAACAATAAAATGTCTAATTTCTCGGAAATTAATAAATTAAAAAGAAATATGAAAAAGTTGAACAATGTTGAAAGTAGTGTTGAATTTTTGAAATATATATATATATATATATATATATATATCTATATATATAGTTATTTAGTCTTGTAGCATTATTTGTTGAAGTTTCTCTTAAAAAATAAATTTGTTTGTGATTTTTTTTACAAAAATTATTGTTTTTTATTCAACCTTTAATATATTTTAATATTTAATTTCGTTAATATCTCATCTAATCGTTTTAAATTACCGTTGTTTAATTTTTTTTTCTCTCATCGTGATTTCGTTTTTGTGTCATTTTTAAAGCCAGTTATGGATTTTCATTTTAACACACACGCATACACACACAGTCACACACCACACACGCACGCAAACACACACACACACACACAATATCCTTATAGTTACCTGTACAATTTACCTAACCATCAAAAATATTTTCTCGACTTATTGATTATATATCATAGTGATGTATTTCGTGTTCATGATATGACAGTTATAGTTACAATTATATGATAATAATTATTATAATTATTAATCATAGTTACAATTATATGATAATAATTATTATAATTATTAATTATCGTTACAGTTATATTAATATTAATTGACAATTTTATTATTCTAGAAAGTTTTTTTTTATCTAGGTGTTTTCACGTTTAATGAAAATACATACATGCAGATGCACACACACACACACACACACACACACACACACACACACACACACACACACACACACACACACACACAAACACACGCATACAATAGACACACATATACCCGTTTTAACATCGTTACATATAGTAGCATTGTGGGTATTAAATATTTATTTGTGTTATTTTTGTACATCTTCCATTGAATCGTATCTGTTTAATATGAGATTTCGCCGTCTTACGTCTGAGCCAAGTTACTTCCGTCAGCTTTCATGATGTTCTCATCAACCCTAACCCTTCTCTTGATTTGGTGATGATTTTCATAAGCGTCTCCACGTAAATATTGTTAACATTGTGGGTATTGAAATTAATTTATATTCTGACTATGTTAACGATAAAATAATACTCGTACCAATGATCGTACAAATTGAAATTTGCCGTAAGTCATGTAGAAAAATTTTGATTGTTAAATATGTATACAAGAGTATTACATTTTTTTTAGAGCATCTTATGTTTGCTTATATATATATATGCACGTTAATTTTTTTTTCTCCGTAGATCATACGTACCACAGTGAAACGTGTGGTGAATCTAGGCCTACATGTGCCTGCATATATGCAGCCTAATTATTGAAACTACTCTACTTATAAGGGTTTTGTTATGCAGTGCGTATTGTATTGTATTGTATTGTATTGTATTGTATTTGTAGGGTTGTTTAATTTTCAACGTTCATTTGTCGGTTTATTATTTCAATCATTTGTTTTTTATTTTGATTTGTATTATTGTATTGATGATATGGCGCGAAAGGGATCTTTAACACGCATAGCACTTACCTAGCTACTAAACTCAACTGATTTCTTGGCAATTTTTTCCAGCCTATCGTATAAACTATTCATAAAGGGCCTGTGTGGTGTGGCTCGTTTAAAATTTATAAGTGCTTCTTTTGGTTTTTCTCGCTCGAAAAACATTCACATATGTGCGTGTTGTTTATGGCAGTATCTGGTAAAAATGGTTTTGAAATGTTTAAAACATTTATTTTTGTACTTACGTACGTTTTGATTTGAATGCTTGAAGTTCGGGGCATTATTATTTATGTTAGAAAATTAAATTGGACGTTTGGTGGAAGTGTTTAGCTTTTATATGATGGGCTTCGTCAAACGATCATTCGGCTTGTTTATTGATGCATATAACACTTTCAACTCCTGCTCTTTTCATCTATACACACATGTGTGTGTTGTTGTATGTGAGTATGTGAGTCCATGTGCGTATCATATGCACTGCTTATGTTTGTATTGTAATTTTTTGCCCTTTGAAACGCATGTGTGTGTGTGTGTGTCTGTGTGTGTGTGTGTGTGTGGTGTGTGTTTGTTGTACGTTTGTGTCTGTAATGTCCCTTCTGCATACTTGATTGTGTGTGTGTGTGTGTGTGTGTGTGTTGCGTTGAAAATTTTATTCTGTAATCTGACATCTAATTCTTTTTCTGTAAGTTGACATTTAAGCTAAAGTTGGATGTTGTGATTTTATCAAGCGATACATGATTTAACATTATAGAGTCGTCCATGTTTATGGTGTTCAGTTAATTTCGTCATCAGCTGATTTACAATATCCGGGTGTTTTATTAACTTGTAATGGTTATTACTTTTGCCAATTTTGTTTTACTATTATGCACAGACATATTAATTCGTTTGTTTGCATTCACGTAACCACGCATACTTCGTTGTACCTTAGTAATGTTTTTAATTATTTCAACATAAAGGTAAATAAACTTTATTCCGTACAACCGTTTTGGGCAAATATATTTTTTAGTGAAATAAACTCGTCGTCATAAGAAACAATGGGGGATATAGTTATCTTCATTTTTTCTTCCAACGGTACGAAGTACTTTGGCTAACTTGACAACTCTGACTACGAACACAATCACTACGAAAATCTTTTTAAACTTCCTTTTGTAGGATGATATTAAGATTGTGTTTTTATTTCTACGTACCGATTCATCATTCTCGTAATCGCAACCGAGCATCGCACTGAGTAACTCAGTGTAATCATCTTCATTTTTTTGGTAGGCACTGAGGAGGGTGGTCAGGTAGAACTTCTGGTAGACGAGGGACTGCCTCTGACTTTCTGAACGTATCCAGTTGTTCATGAGGTTTCGGATAGGGTAGGTAGTGGGCACTGGAGCTGACGACCTTGGTGGCTGCTGGGCATCTACTGAAGAATCTGGGTGGAATAATTGTTTTGTGTTTATTATAATATTAATATTTGATATTTATTAATACTAATATTAATATTTTATCAAGCAAATCCCGTAAAAGTTTGAAATAATTTCAAGCAGAAAGAACGACAGCCCGAAAAAATGACATGTACACTCCTTCGTATTACGCAACAGTTGAGTTGCTTCGTACGTTCACTCGTATAAGCAATCTTGACAAAATACACTTTTAAAGAAGCAAATAAATGAATGCAACACTTTCTGGTTGTCTACCCTTTGCGAAAAAGAAAATAATACTGGCTAGATGCATTGACATGAGCAAACGAAATATGAACCATACTTTGCATCTGCCTGCGTTTTATACGTTGCGTACCTACCTACCTACCTACCTACCTACCTACCTACTTACGTACAAGTATGGGAACGCACTTCAAAAAACAATTTGCATACACAAACCTCTCTACGTTTGAGTAAATCATTATTAGAAGAGGCAGACAAAAAATTGCACGTAAAATAATTGGTGCATTGAATGCAACAACACGAACCATGATACCACTCCACTTCCTTTCAACAACCTCAGCATCAACAACCTCAACCTCAACAACCTCAACAATCTCAACTCCAACATCAATAACCTTAAAGTCAACATCAACATAATCAACAACTAACTTCAACAACAACATCAACATAAACAACATTTGCAACAACTTACATGGCCATACAACGCCACCAACAACATCATCATCAACAACAACAACATTCACGTGGCTCCATTGTAGTGCAGTAAATGCATAAACCCCAAAAACAGTCTTACATCATCCGAATGTCATTATAATATTCCATCCACTCAACTAACTCGTAAACAGTGGCGTGTAATTCGGATAGGTTTGCACTAACGCATCAGTAATATTATTTAGTGTAATGTCTGAAGGGCTGTATATAATTTTATTGCGCTTCTCCTCCGCTAGGAATACGCGCACATTTTGCGTAATCATAGTTGTGCACGTGCCTGTGAAAATGTTTTGTAAATTCATACATTTGCATACATTTGTATGTTTCACGTGTACATTTCTGTATATCATAACGATGGCGAATTAGGTTTCATGGTTGAGATTGTCTGTCCTGCGTTTTTATTTGCCTTCATCATTTTCTGTCTGCAGTATGTCTGTGATCGTTTTCAGGCGGACACACACACGCACGCGCACACACACACACGCACGCACACAAACGCACACATACACGCACATGTATATTGTAAACATATAACCAAACAATAATTACACACACCTATACAACATGTCGGTTTATTAATTTGTGATGCTTTTTCATTTATTTAACATTTGACCGACCATCTCTTTCTTTCTCTATCACATTTCATCTTCTTTCCTTATATAGTATATACTTTTCTCTCTCTTTCTCTCTCTCTCTCTCTCTCTCTCTCTCTCTCTTGGATATGTACATGTGCCTGTTTGTATGTGTATGTTTGTATGGGTACGTACAATTCAATTGTATTTTTGCAAAGGCATTTTAATGTAAAAACACTGTTTAGAACAGCCGCTAGAAGAAAAATTCTTGATAAAAAAGTTAGGTAGTAGCGTAAGATAGTGAACGATAGTGAACTTAGTTAGCAACGTATAATAGTATTAAACAATAGTGAAGCTAGATGATGATGTAAGAAACTGATCTTGTAGAAAAATTTTGCACTAATTTGTCAAATTTTTTTCAACTTTTTGTGCACGTCGAAATTAGCCAATTGAAATATTGCTGGAGAGGTTCCCCTATCGCTTAGTTGAGACAGCTGTTAATTGCTCGAAGAACATGTCAAGTGTTTCGAAATTTTTCCTAGATTGTCTCAAACTTCAAAGTTTTTGTTCGTATGTGCGGAAGAAATATTTTTGGAGAAGTTGTTCGAAGACATACGTTTTCAAAATTAGTTGGAAAGGTTTTTCATGTCCGTCTGTCAGTTTAAAAAAATAAATTCATTCTACACGGGATCCGGTTTGTTAAACCACCAACCGCTTATTAGAACCAAATCTGCAAAAAGTAACCAATACCTAAGTGAATGTGTATTGTTTGAATATTTTTCAGATCTAGTAAAAAGTGTAATGCTGAGCCGAGTGAAAAATTAAAAAGAAGGAAATTGAAAAGTAGCAAGCTGTCTAGTTCATCGGAATTAAAATATGTTTCAAGTGATGGTTTCATTATGGTTGGGCACTAGCCGCTTAATCGGACCTCATCGATCAAGTGCTTATGTGGTCCGATTAACCGGCTTCAAGTCTAAATATCAAAGTCGAAAAGGTATGATTGGAGCTAACATGTTGGAGGTGATTAATGGCATGCAAGTGTTGACTCCTATGAGAGTGATGCAAACTCCTTGCTAATATTGTAAATTCATAAATGCCTCTAAGTATGCATGAGAGTAAGATCTGTAATGTGTAGTTTCTGCGCAATGTGTAATGTAATTTTAATATGTAATTAATGTATCAATATGGGCATTTTCTGTCTAGGTTGGCATATTTAACGCCACGTCTCATAACCTTTATGATAAATGTTTGTTGTGTACAACATATTTATTTGGTTTGTATGAGAGGATGTGCAATCCTATCTGTACCCATTGGCAAGCATTTGAAGATACATGTAGACTGTACGAATAGACACTCACGTGCACAGCACACAGTACCGTTTTGAGATCTGAAGAAATTTGCACCGTACCGATAAACATTTTTCTATTTCGCATGGAGAAGGTACGGAACAAACATTTTTTCAAACAGACACACACAACGCATGCGTTTATAACGTTAAACTTCTGATATATCGATACATGCGTAAAGGCATCTGCACCACAGTTCCACAAACAAGTACATGAATAGATACGTGCCTATGCAATTAACGCACATGCCTTCGCCACCATTCTAAAGACCATCGTCGCCTATATAACACGCACGCACGTGTCAAAAATTCAACGCATCATGCGTGCGTGCAAAAGGAGCAAGTGTAGTTGTGAACACTGACGAGGTGGTGGTCATTGTTGCTACTGCTGCAGCTGCTGCTGCTGTCGTTGGTCGTCATCACACATGAACGTTTTTCAATTTAATTTAATTTATCCATATAATTATTAGTTTTTATTAATTCGTATTAAAGTTTACAATTTAAGTTATAAAAATATTGCAATATAAACGCATTGAATATTTCTTCAATGACATTAACATTTAACGTTTGAAAAAACTTTATAAATGTTGTTTTAAAACAATGAGAAATGTTGAATTTTACTTTTGAATATTAATTGAATGAAACACAAAAACTTGTAGAGATGCGTGTAAAATCGTTGAAAACTTTATTAATTATTTAATAATTAATAATAATAATAATCAATAATTATTGTTAACTCCAATTATAATTAAAGTTAGGGTTTGAAATTATGAAGAAATTTTATGTTTTAAGATTGGCATTTTTTTGATTTTGTGAAAATAAAAGTTGTCTTACGTTTACAATGCTGGAAGTTCTTCATTGAACGTATAGTGAATTCGTAAGAAAAAGAAAAAAAGTTACTATAACCATAAAAACTTTCTTTTTAAAAATAAAGTTAATTAATCTAATCTAATAAAATAATAATATTATTAATTTTAAAATAAAATTATAAAAAATTATTATCACTACTACTACTAATAATAATTATATGATGAAAAAGTTTAAAAAAGGCATGATACATATTAATTTTAAAATTATTGCTTATTGAAAAAAATTTATAGAAAGAAATGTAAATTTTATTTTTAGAAGTTTGCATCGAGTGGATTGAGTATTTAATCGTCAAAGTGAAAATTTTCAATTTTGTTTGTGTTACATCACAATGTGAGTAAGTAACTCATTCTCATCGTCTTCTTCATCCTAATCTTCATCATCCTCATCAAGAAAAACAGCATCATCGTCTTCGTCGTCGTTATTACCGTCATCATCATTATCTTTTACAACATCATTTTTATCATCATCATCATAACCATCATCATCATCATCATCATCATTACAGTAAAAGTTGCAGGCACTAACTTTTTGTGCTCTTGGCCATTTGTCCCATGCGAAGTTTATTATAACCATCATCATTATCATAATAATAACCATCTTCATCATCATTACCATCTTCGTCATCATCTACGTCATCCTCTACGTCATCATCTTCGTTATCATCTACATCCTCGTTATTAGTGAATCTTCGATAGTCACGACATGACGGCGAATTAACTGTAAAAAGTGAGTTCGTGTTGTTTTTTTTGGCATGTTGTTTGTCGTGTTGTTTGTTGTTTGTTTGTTATTATTATAATAATAATTATCATTATTATTATTATTATTATTATTACCATCGTCAAGATGCGTGTGTCGTGTCCTGTATGTGTCGTGTATCTGGTGTGTCTGTTGCGTCGTGTGTGTGTTACTGCAGTTGCGTGTTTGTTCTGCTGTGTGAGTGTTATTGTAGTTGTGTGTCTGTTGTGCTGTGTGTTTGCTTTTGCAATGACCGTGTTGTTGGCCTGTCTGTTGCCAAGTGTGTGTATTATTGCGGTTGTGCTTGCTGGCGCTTGTTGTGGCGCTTGTTGTGGCGCTTGTATGCACGTCTCTGGCGTTTGACATTTGACAATCGTCGTCGAATGTTTTGGCGAGGAAATTATATTTGCAAGGGATGTGCGTGTCCAAATTTCCAGAGATCCTTCTGTGGGCATTTCGTTGATTTCCAGGTGAGATGGGCCGGTGTCTGCTGTGGTCAGCTTTTCTTATCCGCTTGCTTCCTTTACTATTTATATCTTGAAAATTTTTATTGCCATCATTATTATTATTATTACAATTATTATTATTATGATTATTATTATTATTATAAATATTATTATTACTATAATTATTATTATTATGATTATTATTATTATTATAAATATTATTATTATTATTATAATTATTATTATTATTATTATTGCCCTCGTTATTTTTGCTAACAGTATGTTCGCTATTATACACGGACACGTTGTTTATGGAGTGTTTGTGGCTACTGAATGGCGATCGGCTGATGTTATTTATAGAATTATTCGCTGAATATTTTCGCCCCTTATTTGGATTATTATTATTGTTGTTGTTGTTGTTATTATTATTATTATTGTTATTATCATTAAAAAAGTTGTTGTTGTTGTTATTGTTAGGAATGTGATTGTTGATTCGGTTAATGTTTTTGTTGCTTTCATTGTATTTGTTACTAAAAGTGAACAATTTTTTGCTGGTAGACATGTTTTTAATGTCACCATTGTTGTTGTTGTTGTTGTTGTTATGGTAGTAGCAGTTGCAGGCGTTAGTCTTGTTTTGAAATTTAATGATGTTGTTGTAAGGTATGTTTGTACAACAACTTCTTATTCTGTTTTTGTTATTGTAATCAGTGTGATTAATGTAGGCATCATTAACGTTGCTGTGGTCATAATTACTAATGCTAATGTTGTCGTCATCATCGTCATCAATGTTGTTGTTGTTGTTGTTGTTGATGTTGTTGTTGTTGTTGATACGACAACAATGGTGTAATGTCTCGTCGTTGCGTGAACAGTTAGCATTGCAGTAATTATTCTTTGACGTCTCATAATAAGGAATTGTATGGTTGTCATGGCGATGGCTGACGCATGCGTTTTTAAAATAGAGGATGTCGTCGTTGTTGTGGTCGTTGTCGTTGCTGCTGCTGTGGTTGTTGCGGCCGATGTAGTTGGCTGTTGCTAGAGTGGCTGCATGAAAAATGGATTGTTTGGTGTTGTTGTGAGATTGTGATAATGATGATGACGACGACAATGATGAAGTTGTTGATGTTGATGATGTTGATGATGAGGATGAAGATGATGGTATCAACGTGTTATGGTTGAAGTTTTTTTCGCATTCTTTATTTCGGCGCAATAAATATTCATTTTCAAACTGTTTGATATTGTCACCGTGTGTGTAGTTGCAGTTGTCCATGTCCTTTCTGCCATCGTTGTTGTTGTGGTTGTTGAAGTAAGTGCAGTTGTTGTGGTTGTTGTAACTCTGGCTGTTGTGATTATTATTGTGGTCGTTTATGCTGCAGCTACTAATCACAACATGGTTGATGTTGTTTGAAAGGTTTTTGTTGTTATTGTTGCTGAAAGTAATACAGTTGTTGTTGTAGTCAGTACTGTTTTTTATATTAGTGTCACTGTTGATGGAACTGAATGGCTGGTTGTTGTTGCTGCAGTTGACGAGTGCAGTCTTTGGAGCTGTTGGGAATGTTTGAAAGGGAATTATTGAATTTTTTTGTATGAAGTCATGAAAGACAATGCTTTTTTAACTCATCTTCATCACTAACATAGCTTACATTAACAACAACAATTATTAGAAAAAAAATGATGGAACAACAACAACAACAACAACAACTACTACTACTACTACTACTACTACCACTACTACCACTACTACTGCAACTACCACTACTACCACTACTACTACTACTACTACTACTATTACTACTACTACTACCACTACTACTACTACTACTACTATTACTACTACTACTACTACTACTACTACTACTACTACTACTACTACTACTACTACTACTACTACTACTACTACTACTACTACTACTACTACTATAACGCATCAATCAAAACGAAACCCCATCAGACCATCATTATCATCATCATCGCCTTCAGCCTTGCTGTAGTCGTGCAGTTTCATGACGTCTGCCGTGTTATTTATAGATTTGGCGGGATTTCCAACTCTTGCGTGGTAATTATTTTTTTCTTGCAAATTATTTAAAGGCCAAATAGGATATTTTTCCTTTGCTGTTGTTGTTTCTTCTTTGCTCTTCATGGAAAAACGAAAAATAATTGGTTAACATTGTCATTAATGTCTTAATTGTTGTTGATATTTTTGTTGTTATTAGCGTTATTGCTATTATTGCTATTTAATTATTATTGTTATTATTATTATTATTATTTATTTATTTAAAAAAAATTTTAAAAGTTTATTTTTTTCAAAGGTTTCATATATTTTTCTACATTCGTGTTAATATCTCAAGAAGTTTTTTCAAGTGAGCCCATCATCATCATCATCATTATCATCATCATTATCTACTTCTTCCTCTTCATCATCATCATCATCTTACAACACTCTATGATGATGACGAAGATACACTATGCCGATAACAATGATCATACACAGTGATAAAGATAGCAACAAAGATTATCAATATAATAATATATTATTAATAAGATAATAATAAAGGTATCCAATGATAATAATAATGATGATGGACAACGATGATCATGAAGATACACAATGATGGCGATAATAATGATGATGATACATTGGGATATTTTAAAAGGCGTCACTACCTTGTCCAACAGCTTTCTATCATTCGCATTGGTTGGACCAGGCCTGGCATCTGATGATGATGATGAGAATTGTTGCAACAGTCTTGATGATGATGGCGTTGCTGATAATGATGATGGCGATAATGATGATAATGATAGCGATGAGGATGATGATGATGAGTGAGTGAGATGTGATATTGTGGGTGTTAGTATTGAAAGCATAGCTGTGTTTAATGATAAGTCTGCTGTTTTTGTTGTCGCTGATGATGGTGACGACGATGATGATATTCTTGTTATTGTTTGTGTAAATGTTGTTGTTGTTGTTGTTGTTGTTGTGATTGTTGGTCTTGCTAAAAGAGCATTTGAATTATAGAGTGTCCTATGATGGCTCTGATTAATGTTTCTGGTTACATTAAAAGAGCAATCCGTTGTTGCTATTGTTGTTGCTGGTGAAGTTAACGTTGTTGATGT